TTCATGTTCTTGGAAGGGATTCACAGCCCAACAGGACACTTGAATGGGCACTGGAAACCCGGGTTGGTGTATCCTATGTAGTCGGGATGTGTCCTCTCAGTGGACGCTCAACTTGTGCTCCATGGAAGAAAGCATGCTGGTTATGAATCCAGATATATATATAAAAGATATAAAATACTTTATGGAGACAGAGGCAGGAGATGGGCAAGGCATTGCAGATGCTCCAGTTGCTTCTTTGGGTAAGGAAAGGTGCTGGTACTTTTTCATTTATTTTTACACTGAGGCAGCTGACTCTGTTAATAAGAAAGCTGTATTAATAGTACATTCAAAAGGTCAGAAACACAGTGACATTTCAGCTTCCCATTAGAGTTCATCTGTGGTCACAAGAGTTCTTATGTAAACGCTCTTCATTGTAGCTTAGCGCAGATAAAGAACAAGCAGGTCAGGCATAGCCCACGCTGGTGCATCTGTGAAGAGAAACACCTTTCCTTATGTGTTGCTCAGGATCCCATGGTGTGTGTGAGTGAGTGAGGTGCTGAGAGGGACAGCAAAGGGGAAGAGTTTATAGTCTGTGCCTATTGATTATGTGTTTTCATGGCTCAAACCCTCTTCATTGAAGTTTTATTTTTGTCTCAGGCCAAAATGAAATATAGAATTCAAGTGTTTCCCCATTTGTCAATACTATTATTTTAATATCAGACTAAGTTCTTAAAAGCCTTAGACTCTGTTTGGTTCAAGAGCTGTGTATTATGGAAACATTCAGGGCCAAAGTATACTCCCTGTTCATGGAGCTTTAGTTTTGGCGAAGAAGCCGGGTACCTTAATAGGCCCTGGTGCTGTGGGGCCCACCTGGAGTGTGCCCACTTGGCATTCTGGGGCACATTCTGGTGCTGAGGCAGGGGAAAGATTCAGAGGATGTGACATCTGGGTTGGTGCTTGAAAGTTCAGAAAGGGTTGGAGTTCAGCCACCTGTGAATTTTGATGCCAGAGGACCTGGTAAGCAGGTGAGGGGCTGTGTCAGCAGTGTGGAACCTCAGGGGAGGTATATGGTGGTAAAGACCTGGTCCTCATGGCATGGCCCGCCTTTTCTTTCATTTCATTTCTCTTACTTTCTACAATGGCCAGGGATCGGCCAGGCTGGAGTCAGGAGCCTGGAACTCAGTCTAAGTCTTCCAAATGAGTGATAGGGACCTAAGTATTTAGAATCATCTTCCACGCCTTCCCAGGTACGTTGCTGGCAGCTGGATTGGAAGCAGAGCAGCTGGTGCTCAGTATGGAATGTTGGTACCACAGTCTGCAACTTAACCCACAGCACTGGCCACTGTGCCTTTTCTTTCTTAAAGCTGTTGGGGTTGGTTCCTTCAGAAGCTTGGAACTGCTTTCCAATCAGTTGGGCTTGGTTGGATGGAACCATAGGTCCTTACAAGCTCAAAGAACTTCTACAAACCACAGTGAGAAGCTGGTTAGAGATGCTGGAATCTTGTGTGTAGTGAGTGGGTAAGGGGAGTGGCCTGTTCTTCTCTGGTCTCAGCAAGTGTTCGTTGCTACTGATGGGCTAAGACCTGGAAGGACCATGGCTCTGGCCTGGTACCTGCTGCCTGTTACCTAGAGGAGGACAGTGAGAGTGACTGGCATCCTTCTGTGCCATCCTCCCAACTGGAGGTAACCTTGTGACTTCAGGAGCCACGCTGTATACTGGCTGTCATCCCCCACTGTCTTTAGATGTTTTTTTTTCCCCTTTATTGTGTGTATATTTTCTGCAGACTTTTATTTTTATCACATTAACACTATGAGGTTCATCCATGCTGGTGCATTCAGTTTTATTGCTGACCAGATTTCCACTGAATAGCTGCTCTGGGAGGTAGGTATCCACTTTATTATATGTCGATATCTGGGCTCAGGTTGTGGCTGCCAGGAGCACTGCTGCTATGAACAACCCTATAAGTGTCATCTGGTAAACCTGTATGCAGGGCTGTTGGGTACTAAGTTAGGAGTAGAATGGCTACTGCAGGCAGTACTTAATTTACTTTCATGTGTCTTCCTGCAGTTCTCCAAATCAGGTTAGTCCGTTTACAGCAATGTTTAACGCTCCCTTTGTGTCACTCACCTGTCAGCACTCAGCCTATTTGCGTTTTAGACATTCGAATGGGAATCATTTTGTAATTCTTTATATTACACATTTTAATCCTGTCCTATAAACCATTCCCAGAAAGTGCCTGTTCATTTACAGTTTGTAGCTCTTTTCATCTAATGGCCTTGCCTAAATCTCCCTCTCCCATCTTGCCATGCATTCTCTGCGGATCTGGGATGGTTCCTGTAATCCTCTTTTTTATAATTAATCTACCATTTCTAAGAACACTGATAGTCGATGTTTATATTATGTGAGAGATCTTCAGAAGTTTATGTATAGTGTGTATATGGCTTTTAAAATGCACAATTTATAGAGGTTTTTTAAATGATTATTTTGGAAGACTTTAGAGAGATTCCAAGTCTTGGTTCACTCTCCCGGTGGCTGCCGTGGCCAGACTGAAGGCAGGATGCAGGAGCTTCATCTGGGTTTCCCGCAGGTGTATCAGGGGCCCCAGTGCTTGGACCATCGTCAAGCTGCTTTTGTGAGGCTGTTCACAGGAAATTGAATCGTAAGTGGAGAAGCCCATTGTTCCTTTACAGGGTTCTGGTTTTGAGAATGATATAATGCCAGCCCCAGATTCCAAACATCTTTGCAATAAAATAAACTTGCCTTGTATTCTCCACAAGCCTTTTAAAGTACCCTTGGACTGGTACCCAACATATATTTTTGTTCCCACTGCCTGTGCAGTGAATATGCCAATGTGATGGGGAGGAGCTAGAGCATAACCCTTCAGCACTTAGGAAATTGTACAGGGTAATTCCTCAGTATTTCTTCAGTTCAAGTGAAGGTTTCTTATCTTTTGGAGAAAAGGTTTGGCAAGTGCTGGCTTTCTTGGCTTTGTTCCAGAGATGGTTGAAGGTAGAGGTAGCACATGCTGACGGTGAGAGTAAGCAAGCAGTGTCTTTGGGCCTGTGCTTGGCAGGAGGAAGCCTTGGAGACATCCGTAGTACTCCAGGAGCTAGGGGATAAATATGCAAGTGTTGGATAGGGGCAAGACCAATCATCCATTCAGGTGGGACCAGGTAGGGTTGGACTGGGTGGGTGCTATGCTTAGGTAGTAGTTGTGTTTTACACTGGTGCTGTGTACTCATGGTGTTTGTTGGCAGACATCCTTCCAAGAGGTGCCAAGTGTATGCAGTGAACCCAAGACTCCGAGTTCAGCAAAGGATAAAGGGTTTTCTGGGAGTTAGACAAAGAGCAAGATACATGACTGTACTTCTTGTGAAACAAGCGGGAGCTGCCCTTTTTCTGTTGACAATGTTCTGTTTTTGCATTGAAACTTTCTTAAGTGTCGTCTTCAGACAATGAGATGTGTAGGAGGCTCATGTTAGTTCTTTTTGTAAAATTTCCTGTTATCATAAAGAGAACAGAATTGATGTATTTCGAAGTTACAATCCTGGATATTTCTCTCCTTCCTTTCTCATTTCTCTTTTAATTTTTTGTGACAAATACTCCATTAAATATAGCATTCAACTAACAGCATAAAAACCACTGTAATGCATGAGTATGAATAGTCAAGAGTTACCAATATCCGCCTGTAAGATGTCAGTTTCACACTTACACATCCTAGGGTTTGTTTAGGTACCACAAAGTAGAGAAAACATGATAGTTTGCTGTTTGGGTCTGCCTTATTTCACCAAGCTTAGTGTTGACATCCACTTTGTTTCCGTTAACTGGATTTCATGCTTTTTGTGGCTGTGTAGTATTCTGTTATGAGTATATAGCACATTTATTTCATCTGGTTATCAGTTGTGAACATCTGGGTTGATTCCTTAACTTAGCGAGTGTGAACTGAGCTGCAGTACACTTAAGGGTATGAATAGCTCTTACGCATGCTTATTTCATTTGCTCTGGGTGTATCTGGAAGGTTAGGTGGGTCTCTTTTCCGGCTTCTGAGGAGTCTAAGCACTCTCTTCCTAATGGTTGTGTGAGTTGACAGTCCCACCAACCATGTACTAATATCCTTGTGTGTTCTTGCCAGATGCGTGGCTACATTCTCCCATTCTGTGTCAGTCCCTCATTTTCTTCAGTATTCCCTTTGCTGTGCCAAAGCTTCTTAGCGTGTTGTAGTTCCATTTGTCAGCTTTTGCTCTGCCTGTGCTTCTGGGGTCTTACCTAAGTGCTAGAAGTGGGCCATCTTTAGGATGTTGGGCTGAACCTGCTCGAGTTGGGTCATCTCCTGTTCCAGGGGCTTAAAACAACTGATCATGAACTAAGAATTCTGAAATTCCAAGAGTGAGCAACACTGCTTGATCATTGCATTGAGTCAACACATCGGAATACAGACAGTTTTCTCTACTCAAAGGGAAAGGCGCCCCTGCTTTACCTTGGAGTCCCACACAGGAAACAGGACCCATGGCTCCATCTGTTGTCTTTCTTTTCACCTGTGTGCTCCTGGAGGCTCTTGTCAGCAAGGGGAGCTGCATGCCCTTCCTCTTGAAGACTGGTTCCTTGCTTTGTGAAGAAAGGGCCTTATCAACCATGGATACTTCAGTGTTTTGAAATAAATTCAATAAGGGGCAATATGTGATAAAAAAAATGTTGAAGTATGCTCGAATCTGCAGGATTCTGGGTATAAAGGAGAAGGAAAAGTTCAGATCATGCTGACTGAGGGAATCCCGCTTCACACCAGGCAGCATTTCCATCACGCACATTTTTGAACACTTTGCTCACAGCATCCATCCCGGGTTACAGTGTCTCATGATGCTGATGCCTGTACGTGGTTTTCGCCATGGTAAAGCCAGCACCTAGTTCCGTGGTTAGAAACTATTAGATATATCCCCAGATGATCAGTTAATCAAATAGATAGGTCCATGGCTTATGTCATGTGTGTTCATGTGTGTTTCACTGACCCTTCTTCTCTTTGCAGATTCCTTACCTATTCCTACCTCTTGGCCTTCAATGTGTGGCTTATGCTCGCACCTGTTACCTTGTGCTATGACTGGCAAGTGGGCAGTATTCCCCTGGTGGAGACCATCTGGGACACGCGGAACCTAGCCACCCTTCTCCTGGCGCTGGTGATGGCTTTGCTGACGCTGCACTGCTTAGCAGCCTGCAAGGTAATCTTTCCTGAAAGTAAATGAACTGTGTGCTCTTGAAGATGGGTATCCTCAGGCTCTTATTTCCCACAGGGATTTCGTCTGTGTTGGTTTTATTTCTTGTCCGTAGGATTTAATGTATTCCATATTTTTCAAGTAGGTTGTATTTATTTTAGGGACTTTAGCAGAGTTAACAGAAAATGACCTCCTTAATTGTAACTCTTTGCTTCTATCAATCTGAAGGAATTGGATCTGAAGTTTTACAAATAAGTTTATTTCCTAGAGTAGCTAACTCATTTTTTAAGTCATTGGTTTGATTTAATGCAGGGATGCATGAAGCGGTGACAAATAATTCATGCGTGAATGCCTCAAATATAACCAAGACTCTTCACAAAAGGATTGGAACAGTAACGTAGTGGGTTAATCCTCCTCCAGCTGGAGCCAGCATCACATGTGGGTGCTATGCCAGTTCACGTCCTGGCTGCTCTGCTTCCCAGTCAGCTTCCTGCTTATGGCCTGGGAAATCAAAGGAGGACATCTTCTTTAGTCATTGGAAGAATTCATGTTACATCTGCAAAGACGTAGTACTGCACATCTACAGAAAGGTTAACTATTTGAAAGTATCCAGTTCAGTGCTAACTCTAGTGTTCCCAGTGTTGTGCACCTGTGAGCTCTTTCTAGTTTCAAAACTTTTACAACAGCTTGCAAAACTGCTTCTGATCTACTTTCTTCCCTGTGGGTTTCAACGTTCTGGATAGACCGTATAAAAGGAGCCACACAGGATGTGATGCTCCATGTCCTGCCTCTTTCACCTAATAGAGCATTTTTGAGATTTACAAATGTAACATCATCAGTACTTCATTTCTTTTTACAGGTAAATAATATTGCAATGAACGTGTGTGCTCACTCATTCATCAGTGGGTATTTAAGTCTTCCTCCTTTGGTCCATTACCAATGATGCTGCTGTTCGCATCATTGCGTTCAGCTTTCTCTGTGGACATGGTTTTTTTTTTTTTTCATTGAGGTAGACATACATGAATGAAGTTGTTTCCTAGGATGACTCTGTTTTCAACTATTTGAGGAGCTGGCAAACTCTTCCGCAGTGGCTGCACCAGATGGCATTACCAGCAGCCATGGGCGAGGGTTGCAGTAGCTCTGCGTGTGCTCCAGCACTTCCTCGTGTGCTTGTGTTGATAAAGCCATGCTGAAGAGTCTCAAGAAACGCCTCGTTGTTGTTTTTATATACATTTTCATGAGGCTCGGTGATTCACACCTTTTTATTTGCTCCTTGGCTGTGTATCTTCTTGGCAGAAAAAAATTCGTTCAGGTCCTTTGTCCATTTTCAAATTGAGCTGTTAGTCATTTTGAGGTTGAGTTTTATTATTTATACATTCAGTATATAAGTCCCCAAGGTCTTTGTGAATGTTTTCTCTCATTCTCCAGATCTTTTCACACTTGCGTTAATGTCTTCTTCACACTGTGGTGAGGTCCTTGGATGCTCATGTTCCCGGTTTTTAGGAAGCCTAGTATCCCGTTTTCTTTTGTTAACTTGTAATTTTATTGTCAGCTCTAACAACGTGCTGCCAAACCCAAGGGCACGAAGACTTACAGCTGCGGCTTTTGCTCTTGTATTTCAGTTGATTTATTTTGAGTGAAGTTTTGTATGCAGAGAGGAGGATGTATTCAATTTCACTCCATTGTGGACGGTTCCTAATTGCCACCACAGCATTTTCAGAGACTGTTCTTTAACTGAACACTGTCATTGTACTGGACATTTTTAGTCATCTTTCTGTAATGGGTTTAAATAAAGAAAGGGTATTGCAAATTGGCGGCCTCAAGAAACTCTGGCATGAGATTAGACACATACACTTGAGCTTAGATTTCACCTTCTGAGTAAGTTTTGTCCTAATCGCGCTATTTAAAAGGCATTTTCATTCTCTCCACTGCTTTCCCCATTTCCTTTTCACTTTTAAACTTTCTGCACTGTATGGGTATAATTTGGCCATTTTCTTGAACGCGTTTCAGCCAACAAGAACAGAAACCCTGTGAGGCTAGCATCTTTCTAGCATGCATACTATGTCAGTAGGTGTTAAACTGAACCTGTGTGATGATTCCTAGATGTTGAAGCAGTGAGCTTATTCAGTGTAAAACCAGGAAAGAGACTGTTGGATGTACAAGTATATCCATTGACAGTACTTCAAAAATTGAATGAAATGATTAGTTTATTTTCATGTAAAAATTGTTGAGGTCTATGAATCTTCAAAAACTTCATCAAATATATATATTTTGAAAAGAAAAATCTTCGTGGGTTTCCAGAAACTTTTTGCTCCAAAATAAACTTTTATTTTCATTTTCTACCTTTTTTTTTAAGTTTCCTTTAGCACTGAGTCCAGAAAATCATAGAATTTTTGACTTCCTATTTTTTTTTTAATTTTATTTTTGATGTTGACTACATGGTTGATTAGGGAAAGACGGGTCAAGGTTTAGGGGAAAGTGGATGAGACCATTTTTTCCAAGTTTTCCATTTCTTCTTCCTGTATCTGGGGGAACAGGGGCCTCCTAAATGCATCAGCACCTGAAGTTGGGGAATGGCCACCTGATGCCATCCCAGGATCCCCAATGTGGAGCATGCTCTGAGGGTTCTGCTTAAGTGGTTACAACAGTTCTGAAATGCTGTCAATCTCACTGATCCAAACATAAGATCCTTTGGCTGACTTAGCCCCCTTAGAGTCTTTATTCACCCAGATATTTGCTGTCAAACTCAACTGGGATGGTTGACCAATTTTTTCTTTTAACCTCCTTTGTCTGCTATGATACCAAATATCTTCTGCAGGTCCCAATGGTCTGCCAAATCCTCTATGTGCGTCTGGATATACCATCCACTGCTCTGTCGAAGCCACTGAGGAGGCCCAGTTCTGACACATGCACTCCATGGTCAGACCACAGATCCATGATTGGAGTCCTGAGTCCAGCGGTTCAGTTGGGGTGGGGGAGGAAGTATCTCCAAAGAAATCCCTTCTGAAATGATCCCAGAATAGGATTTAATTTTCAATAGGACACAACCAGCTTTGCCTTACACTCAAGGGAAAATCTAGTCTGCTTAGCCTCCTCTTTATTGTTGTAACATTGGTTGAGTGCCTTCTGGCTATTTGGGTTTGTGTAGCGAAGTACAGGAAAATTCTGGGCGCATGGAGCTTGTCCTTAGACATTTGAAATATGTATTTTGATATCAGGGGTTAAGTGCTGAGATGAGTTCAGGGCTGGAGGTGAGATCCAAACAGAAGCATGAAGGAGGTAAATGATGCATCATGTGGCTGTTGAGAGAAGAGCAGGTGCGAAGGTCCTGAGGCAGGAAGGTCCCAGAGCAGTCACAGCATGTAAAGAGGCTGACATGGCTGGAGCAGAAGGGGCCGGTGGCAAAGCCAGAGGAAACAAAGTCAAGTCAGTGAAAGAGAGAGAGGAGAGACAGATAGAGGGAATGATTGATTGAGCAGTTTCACTTTATTCATTTACTCCCCAAATGCCTGAACAGCCAAGATAAGGCCAGGCTGAAGCCAGATACCTAGGATTCTGTTCTCCAGGTGGATGGCAAGATCTAAGCACACCGGAAGCATGACTTGCTGCATTCCAATATGTGCATTATCAGGAAGCGAGCTCAGAGGCCGAGGACTCGGCACTGCAGTGTGGGCTGTGAATGTCCCCAGTGGCTTCCTAACCTGCTCTGCTACATCACACAGCCGTGTACAGATTTTTTTTTTCTGCTGACATTAACCAGTTTTTATTGTGCATCACAGTGGCCAGTTCGTATACTTAGAGTCTTCTAAGACTCTTCTTCACTTTATTCTGAAGTTTGTGTCTCCCTACTTTGTTGTCAGCTAGAGCAACAGAAAGGTGGGTCGTACTCTGTCATGTTGTAGTTATACTTGCACTTACATTTTGTTAATAACTGAATGATAACTCTTATGAAGAGACACATGAGCAAATGCAGGGTATGAAACAGGGTGTATTCTTTCCAAGAAGAAATTCTTTTTTTATAAGTTAGTTTAATCAGACACTATAACAAGGTGCAGACTATTCCAAATAACTTCCCTATCTCATTGCTCTATTCCTACAGATATTCAACTCAAATGGGCGAGTTCTAACAAAACCCTGTCTGGAACTGAAGAGAACTGACATACAAAGCCCAAACATTTCCTGTCTCCAAAAATAACCAAAGAATGAGTTTAACAATCATTTCTGACGTATGAACTCCAAACATTTCCTCTCTCTTTAAATAACCTACCCTGGTTCCATGATACAAAAAAACTTAAGACCTGGAGGAGTAGTTGATTGTTTATCCAAGAACATCACTGGACACTTTCGAGAGTTTGGAGGTGGAATGTTTTTTTCTGCCTCCCCTTTGCCATTTGCTGCTGCAGCTCTTTCTCCTCTTCCTCCTCTTGCTCCTCCTCCTCACGTTATTTATTGCATAGGCATGCATTTGAGTTTTTATTACGTAATGTTGAGAACCATCTGGAAATTCATGATTGGGCTGAGTACATTGCTACAGTCAATTTTAAGGAAGACTAATTTGCCCTTGCCTTGTGCCATGAGGATAATTAGTCTGCGAATGTGTGTGCAGTAGACAGGAAGAGCCCTGATCCAGAAGGCTCTGTCCTGTTCCCTCCTGTGAGTGGCTGTTGTTTATGCCCAGGAGGATGTCAGCTGAAAGATGCTTTGGATCTTTTTATGTCTCTTGCAGACATGATGTCACACTGTTGACTTGCTGTGAGAAGTGACATGTTTGAGGAAGGCAGCCAGTCTAATTTGAGTTGTTTAGGGGGAGTTAATACCACTGGGCCTACTCTTTATGACTCTCATTTCCCATATCCTCTAATGTGGTTTCTCTCTGTGACAGAGGAAACACCACTAAATTATATTTGAGAGTAATTTATTTTAGTATTGGTTCTTTATTGCATTCTCACATGGTGTCTTGAGACTTCAAGGTGTTTTTATATTTTTTATAATCTTGTAGCTTGCAA